TGGGCTCCCAGCGCTTCCCGCGGGCAGGCGCCTCGCCGTGCCTGTCCCGGTTCCCGTCCGGCAGCAGGTGTTGGGTTTTCGCCTTTGCCGTTTCTTTAGGCGCTCGCCGGACTTTGTGCGTTGTTTGCCTTTCGGACCTCAGCGGAGAGGGCGCGGGTGACTCGGGGTGCTCTCCTCGCAGCGGCTCCCTGGTCTGCAAAGTGCAGGAGTTAGTTTTCTCCTTTCCCTGTCACCGAACCAGCATCTTCCTGTACCCCTTAACAAAAAGTGTTGCGCCTACACCTCAGGGCTCTGCGTAATGTGTCTCTAAAAGGACCCGGACGGCGACAAGACGGGTAGCTGGCCGCTCGTCCACGGTGCTCTCTGCTCGCGAGGTCGGTGCCCATGCACAGAAGACTGCAGCCCAGCCTGTCCTGAATTTACACGGCCCTCTGCGCTTCTCTCCAGCGTCTCTGTGCTCTCGGGATGCGAGAGAAACGCTTCTGAGAGGCCAGCATTAAAGCCATGAGTGGGAAGAGGGTGTCAGCCCTTTCGCTGTGCATTTAGAAACCGTGTGCGTATGGGGACGGTGTCATGACAGTGCCCTGTGCGCAGGGGACTTGATGGAGCTGCCGCTTCTTCCCGTGATGGATATTGGTTCATAAAAGCCTCGGTCAGGAATGCGGGCATTGTTCCTGCTGCTGCCTGTGGGTTTCTAGCCCTCTTCAAGTCCATTTTCCTGCCATGTTAAAAAGCACGGCTGAGGTGTGGAGGCTGAAGGCCATGGCTCTGCGTTCCTCTTCCACGCCGCCACCTTCCTCCTCTTCCTCCTCGCGCGCTGTTATTTCTGGAACCCCCTCGAACTCCCACACCGCGCTCTCACCTTTCCCCGCTTGCAGTTTCTCTTCAAAACAAACTACTGAGCGCAGCGAGTCACATTAGAGCGAGGAAAACAGCAAAGCCTTTCAGTTTCATCGCTCGCTGGCCGATAGCGTAATTTCCATCTCCGGTACTCTCCTTCCTTTCAGTCTACTGGTGTTGTACGCGTCTCCTGTTGCCTGTAATTTAACGCAAATAGCGTCATGGTTTGGGTCGTTACTTTTCTGGCAGGTAGGACTTTGGTTTGGTTGTTCAAGTGCAGTATGTACTAATAGCGGCAGCACGCTGGTGTTAATTACCAGCTCTGGAGCTTGTTTTAAACCACCGCGGGGCGTAACCTCAAAAAGCAATCGCCCAGACTAGTTACAGCAACAAAACCACATGCGCTCCTCAAAAACTTAACAAATTTGTTGCGCAGAGTGCGGTTCCCGGGGGTTTTTGGGGGCTGCCGGTCAGCCGCGAGCCTCTCAAAACTTACTGTACGGGATAAGCTCTCCGCTGTTAACGCAAACTTTTCTTCTCAGAGGCTGAATAAAATTGCGCTGGAAATCATTAGAGTATTAAGTGGTAGCTTAGAGCGGCGGATCAGTAATTAGCTTTTATGGTTGCAGCAGCCGTTGTTAAATCCTCCTTTTGGTGAGGCAGAAAACCCCCTGAAAATCGTGCCCTGTCCTGCCTCGGATTTCGTTGCTGTAATGCAATTTATTAGTGTGGGGTTTTGGAGTTGGTTTTTTTTTTTTCTCCAACGGAAAAAGACGCCCTGCAGCGTTAGGTGGGGTTAGCCGACAAGCACACTCCTCGCTAAGGTAGCAAAATTAGCAACATGATATAAGTGGTTTGCCTTTGTGAAAGTATGCCCGTCCTGAGGCTCGTACCCTTGGCTCCTTATCGTCCGGCTCCTCGTTGTTCTGCCGGCTGGGCCTGAGGCTTTCCAGCGCCTCTCGGCTTTTCTCTGAACTAAAAGAGTCCACGGGACGGGTTGGGAGGGGTGCACACGCGTGCTTTTTCTTGTAAAAGTTGAGCAAAAGTAGTATTTTAGGTGGGAATATCATGAATAACTCGTCGGGGGAATTCCCTTCGAAAAACAGTATAGGGTTTTTGTTTTTGTTTTAACCATGGATACGCATGCAAGCTTTCTTTATGGTATTTGTGTGTGGAGTAGCATCCATCAGCGGTGTGGATGGATGGCTCAAAAAAGTAATTGACTTACTGCTCGCTGGGTGGATCTTGTGCGCCGATGGCACAAAAGCACCGTAATTTTTTCCCACCAGTGAGAGTAAGTAGAAACGTGAATGTATTCATTTGCAACGTTGCCGGTTAGGAGTAATTAAACGCGTGCTCCTGAGAAGCTGGGATTCGTCGGACTGTGCTGACAGCAGGATCCCAGGTAGCCTTTATAAATTAGGCCTATGCGATACAGTCCTGGCTGTTTTTCCCGTTGTAACATCCTTCCCGTAGTACGTGCAATGCCGGTGCTACCGAGCTGTATCTTGTGGCGTCAGATTTCACCCAGACCGAGCCGTCGGCAGCAGCAGCTGAACTGTGGCTACGAACTGGGGGTGGTGGGACCCCCCGGCATCGGGGCTTGCTGCGGGAAGGTGTTCCTTGTAGAGAGCTGCCTCTCCCGATAGCCGCTTGACTGAAGTTACTCATGGCCTGGCAAGCACAGCGACCGCTCCGGTGGTAAGCGGAGACGGCAAAGATTTGATCAGTCTGTTAAAGAAAACTTCTGCCGTTCTGTATTTTCATTTCTTTTTAAGCGATGGGGGAAGGAGAGGCGATAGCAGCCTCTCAGGCCCTTAATCTGTCACCTCCTTGTCAGCGAGAAATGACGCGCGCAAATGGCATGTGCGGCCAGACTTAAAATAGCCCCTCGCTGATCCCCCGAGAACATGCGGCCTCCTTATATGTCCCGCTGCACATGCCACCGCTGGCTGCAGGAGGAGGGGGGTGCCCGTTCCCACCGACTGCAGGTGCGGTGCATCCCACGGCAGGGATAGCGTTTCCTCTCGGGCCTGCTGACGTGCTTGTGAGGATAGGACGGGTTGCACGTTAGTCTGCGTGCTTGCGGGGGGCGGAAGATCGAGTACCATGTTCAAGCTGACGTTGGTATTAAAGCGCAACTGGGTTTTTGTGTCAATCCATCAGTGAAAAGGAAGGAAAGACGCAATACTCCGGTGAGCCATCGGTGAGCCTTGCAGAAACAGCTTGATGTCTGTCCATGTCATCTTTTCACGTGAGCTTTCTTTGTTTCTTGCATGTAGGATTGCCAGATGCTTTTAAACCAGCTGAAAGAGATCACAGGAATTCAAGATTCGGCTTTTCTTCACGCGGCTCTAAAGGTTTGTGCCTGTTGTCGTTGTTTTGCAGAAAGGAGGTCTCTGAATTTGTCCCAAAAGTCAGGCAAGTTCAGGCTCTCGCGAAACATAACGCACGGGTCGGATGTTCGCCGGCATGTCTGTGGGCTGATAATGAGCTGGTCCTCACTAAAATAGTCAGCACGTGGCCTGCAGAAGCGATACAGCCTGCGCTGCGTGGAATAATTTGGTTCCTGTAGGAGGTGAGAAGGGTAAACTCTCTGCTGCTTTTCTGCCCCTCGCTTTTGCTTCTTTTGGGTGTACCCATGAGGCACACAGGTACCGCCAGGCCAGCGGTTGTTGGTGTCAGCAGGGAACGTGCGGTTCTGGGGTTTGTAGGTATTCATCCACATCTGAAGCAAAAACCCCACGCTTTGTTTTTCTTAACGTTAGACCTTAAAATCTGTGCTATGCTAAAATGTTGTAAACATCACCTGGAAGTTTCGCTCCTACAGGACTATTATGCATGCGTTATGGTAAACGCAAACTTAGCAGGTCAGAGCAGGTTTTTCTCTACATAAACTGCTTCAGCAGTTCTGGACAGCTGCGATAACATCACCAGCTTTGTGGCTGGTGGTCGTTCTTGTCCATCACCAGAACAGTCGTCGTTGCTCCAAAGTGAGAGGACACGGGAATCCAAGGTGCTTGAGGAAGCAACATTTACCGGGAAGGATTCCTCCTCGTAGCACATGCTGTGATATTTATAAATTGTAGCGTGAAACTGGCCACAGTCTGGAATCGTCAGACACCATGCATCTTCGTGCAGCGTAGCAGCAGGATGCAGGCTGTGCTGAAAATATACAAAGAGGGTCGTTTAAGGAAATTCTTAAACATTTAATCAAGAAATAATGTCCAGAAAACAACAGAATAAATTTAAAGGGGCATAGCCCGCAGTGATGGTCTGAAGAAAGCCATAGCTCAGTAAGAGACAAACGTCTTGAAATCCAGAGAGAGCTTGATTCCTGTGAGTCTCTCCTGGTGGCAAAAAGTACCCCGTCGTGCTTCGGGCCTTCTGCGACTACTCGAATCTCTTGTGAAGGAAATTAAATTAGTTAATGGAGTCCATACTGTCCTAGTAATAAAGCCAAAGTGCTTTCCAACAGAGAAATTCTAGCCTTTGTTATTTTCATTTTTGTACTACTGCTTGTCACCGACAGATAGCTCTCTCCCATGGCCAGGGAAGGCAAAGTTGGTGGCAGTGTGCCTGTCTCTACCGCAGATGCATTAAATGGCATGCGAATGTAGATGAAGCAACCTTGCCACTATGGATTTTTTTAATTTTTTCCCCCCCATCATTCCACTAGGCTGCTAATGGAGACCTAATGGAAGCGGTCACCTTCCTGACGGAGGAGCATGCTCAGGAGCCGGCTCAGGACGCATCTGCTGCAGAGCCATCCACTTGGGAAGGGAGCGCCGTGGGCAAACAGCTCCCACAAAGTAAGTCATTCGTCTGTGTTCACCCTTCGGGTTTCACGTGTTTTGGCCCGCACCAAAAAGGGGAATTATCAGTCCTCCCTGCTTCTGCTGGTGAATCCCCCCGGCTCCTGGCCTGGCACGGATCTCCCGTTGCCAGTACTTGCCACGGGACGGTTCGGGGAATTAAACCTTCCTGGTGAAGGAGAGCTGCATCCAAAAGGAAAGTGACTCGATAGTGTTTTAATAGCATTTGTAGGTGATGCATCGTAGTCACAAAGCTATCATGGTTATAAACAGTTGGTCTTGGCTCACCCAGAAAACCCGGAAGGCTCCTAAAGCAGAGCAAGCAGAATAGAGAACTGAATCCCTGTCGAGGCGCATGTTTCTTTCTATAGCATCTGCTGGCAGAGCAGGCAAATTGAGTGTTTCATGTCGTATTTTCACGAAAACTTAAAGCGTTACTCGAGCTAGCAATTTTGACTACATGCAGAACGTTTTTAGAAATGTTACCAGGATTGGCAAAAGCGGGCCGTTGGTTTGGTACACGTGTAGATGTGAAAAAGCATAATTGTTGTCTGAGGTAGTTGAGATGAGTTTCTTTAAACCTTGTTGCTAATGACACGCGTATTAACTGGAGCTTTCCCAAGCAGTGTTATCACCGGACAGGTTCACAATGCCAAAAATCTGCGCTGGGAGCTTTGAAGCAACGCCTGGAACAGTGTGGCTGCCCTTTGTTCCTCAGTGCAAGGCTTCCACCTCTCCCAGAGCTACTTATTTTCCTTTCTCCCTCTTTCCTACGTAGCTAGTAAGTGCAACGACTCATAGCTGAGCATCCTGACGCGAGCAAAGGAAGGCGCTTCTGTGTGATTGTGCTGGTTTTATTGAAATCCTTTATTTCTTGGACCAGTGTTGGTTGTCAACACAGATGTTAAGGCACAGCAAATATAAGCAGCAGCCTACGTTCCTGTGTCATTATTGCGAGAGGTTTGAAATGTTCCCTCGAGCTCTGGATTTGGCTGTAAGGAATTCTGGCCTGTAAGCAGCCACGTGGTCTGTCCTGTTCTCCTCATCCAGCCCACTAAGTGGCTTTTTATTCCCTAGCACGACCCAGACTACAAGGATTTGCATTTAAAACTTTAGCTAGAAAATTATGCTCGTAAAAAAAAAAAAAAAAAAAAATCACATTTGTGAGGTGTAACGTTTTCTAGAAGTTCCTTTCAAAGAAAATGTTTGCCCGTTCCTGGTGGAAAACTGACCAGAGTGCTGCCTCCGCTTCTAGACGTTACTGCTGCCCTTACCCCTAACAACAGAGACAACCTCCGCGCAGCCGATGCCTTCAGACCGCTGGAATCGCCAAAAGCTCAGGCTGCAGAAAGAGATGCTGCTGAAAGGTCAGTGGGGCCGCAAACTGGATTTGGTTTTCCCGGGTGTTGTAAGTGGATTCTTAAGCCAGTCAGCAAACCAAACGTAAATCATCTCCCAGGTGTTACACCTACTGCTTTTAGAAGGTGCTTGGGTCGTTATTGCCTTCTGGGTGGCTGACCTTTACTCCTTCTTTACCATGGGTTGGATTTGCCTCCAATAACGACTAAGGGCACCAATTTTTGCGAGCAGCTAGTTCACAGGAAAAAACCACGCATATCTTACTACCTTCCTCCATCGTTGCAAATTGTCTTGCAGTCATGTTTTCCATCCCCCTTATGCGAGAGCTGAAACTTTTCTGGAATCAAATATTGCGGCTGCAGCATCCCGCTTGTGACTAGAGGGGAGTAAGATTCTCCTAGTTCAGACTCTTTGAGAGACGGTGTTTTACAGCACAGTGTGCATCTTTTGTGACAGACCGCAGGAAGGGCATTCTGCTGAAAACAAAAATCGCCCCAAAAGGAAACGCTGTGAAGTCTGGGGAGAAAACCCCAAGCAGAACGACTGGAGAAGAGTGGGCGACTGGCCCGTCGGAATGAAAAATATTGGAAATACGTGTTGGTTTAGCGCCGTCATCCAGGTAATCTGACAGAAAAGTTCTTCTGGAGACGCTGTGGTCTCAGAGTCAAAACATTTATCAGGTAGAATTAAATGTGCAGCAACTCTGTGGTCATCCTATGCAGATGAGCGAACGTGACCGTGCTCAAATGAGAGTTCTGCTTTTGTTTGATAGGATTGGGATTTATTCTGGGCCTGCACAGTAAGAGCCAAAAGAGCAGTTAAATGGGCTTTGCGTAAAAATAGATCCAGATACATATAATCTGCGTGTACGTATGCAGGCTTTTTTTGGTGCAGTGATGTCCAAATGCTTACTGAATGACAGAAGCTTGACTGGCAAAGCGAACTGATAATTTAATTTTACTGCAGTTATTGCTGGCTCCGTGATACGTGGGGTATCATATGCCAGTTAATGGAATACACTGGCATAGATGCTGGAACGAATAAGCAACTAGGCGGCATATATTATTAGTGATAACCTAAACCAGAAGAGACAACAGTAAGTGGAACTGAGCAGATTTGTCTCTTCTAACCATTTCACATCAGCAGATAGACCTTAATCATGTCTCCAGCTTTGAGAGGAAGCAAGAAAGCTTCAAATGGCTCCCTTCTCGCTGTGGCTGGTTCCTGGATGCTTTTTCTAAGCTTGCCTATGCAGAATAGAATACGCTTTCCTAAGACACACTTTTTTTTTTTTTTGTATGTGTATCTCCTAGAAACGGCAGGATGAGATTTTTGTTCTTTGGCGGGTACGAATGTGCTGCTCCGGCACGTAGGCTGCTCGCTTCATAAGTGTTTATTTGGTAATGTAAGGCCATGGAAGAATGCCAAGTTAACAGAAAAGCTGTCGACTACAAGAGTGGCAATGGGGCATCGAGTTGCAGCGAGTCAAATCCTTGCGGATGCTGACTGGTCTTTGCCTCTCCTTTCAGTCTCTGTTCCAGTTGCCAGAATTTCGGAGGCTGGTCCTTGGGTACTCCCTCCCGCAAAACGTGCTGGAAAGTTGTCGTAGTCGCACTGTAAGTTTTCGTTGAGTAACGCTGTGAAGTTTCCCTCCGTTGTGGTGTACTGCTCTGCTCTTTCTCTAGGCAGGTGTAATTTGGGGCCATCTGAGAGTCCCGTACCTATGTTAACGGCTTTCAAATTGTCCGGCTATGCGCAAGGGCAAATTTGGGAAATACTTTTCAAAGACGGAATTGCTGTAGAAAAAAATCAGATGCTTCTCGTAAAGCTTTCCTCTAGAGCTTCTAACTGTGGTGCAGGGAGAAATTTGTCCCGTTCAGCTTCCATGGTAGCTCCGGATTGTTCGTTTGTTAGCACGGAGCACAGAGGAACTGGTGTTCCAGTCGGTCTGAAGGTCCTTCTCTAGCCCCGGTACCTCCTGAGAGCCGTCAGGAGAAGGCGCTTAGAAAATACGTAGAGAAAAAGGCTTACACAGAATTGTCCTTCACTTCTTAAATCACTCTAGCTCATGGCCACCGCCACTTAAAAGACTTTGCCTTACTTGCGCGCATGCTCTCGATACCCTAAAATACCTCAAATGCAGGCAGAATAAATTCACAAATCCACCGGCTTTTGCCTTCTGTTTTAGCAGCTATTACTTCTGGCACTCTTCTCTCCAAAGGTTTTGTTTCAGTTAAATTTTTCCTCCTATGCATCCACTGGGAGAGCAGATTGCTGCAAAGAAACGATGCTGCGTGTCGTTCTGCTTTTGTCCTTTTTAATGTCACCTCTTCCCTTGGTTGTTAGTGTACTTTTTGAGGTGTTCTGTGGCACTTTGTTTTAAGACACTGCTTTTCTGAGTCGCAGGAAGGGTTTGGCTTTTCTTCTTTTTGCGATGCAGGGAAAAAGAAATGTTGCGTTCATGCAAGAACTTCAGTGTCTGTTTGCGTTAATGCTGGGGACGCGTCGTAAGTTTGTAGACCCTTCTGCAGCGGTGGAACTCTTGAGGGATGCGTTTAGATCGGCTGAAGAACAGCAGGTAAAACCGCGTTAAAAAGCCTTTTGCTTTCTTCAAAACGGCACTAGCAGCCACAGCAATCCGATTTGCTTCATCCTGCTACTGCTTTCAGAGGCCTCTTCCCGTGTTTGTCAACTGACAAGCAGCTGTCCCTGTGTCATTTAGGCAAAATGTACGCGCTTGCTAATTAAGCAGCCAGCGTCACAGTGCTCTACCCAGTGCCATCTGGGTCCTTGGGTAGCGATCGCAATAATTTCCTCTGATCTAGTTTGCAGATGAGCAGAGCGTTCATTATCGGTCTAAATCAGCACAGCACTTCCGTATCACACTTCTTTCAGCTGGGTAGGTACAGCAGCACCAGTCGGGTTGTATTCCAGTAGGTTTGTGAAACCAGCAGGCCGTGAAAACAAACGCTTGTCGGTCGGTGTTACGTTTGACTCTCGACTTTTGCCTCTCTTCTAGCAAGACGTGAGTGAATTTACGCACAAACTGCTGGACTGGCTGGAGGATGCGTTCCAGCTTGCTGTGAACGTCAAGTGAGTTTTTTGTGACCTGAGGAGTTTCACCCGACGCTGAGGAGAAACAGATTTTCAGTGCGACGCCTTAATAAACAAGGCGGGGGCTTCGCACGACGATTTTGAGTAAAAGAGAGAGGGTTCTTTGTTTACTGAGGATGATGCTCCTTAAGCTTGAAATACGAAGTGGTGTTGTATCTACGTTTCCTGTATGTAAGTGCAGGACTTTATTCAATGCCGATGTGGCCTGCAGAGTAAATAAGCCTTTTAGGGGAACTTAGAGGAACCGGTATAGGTGAAATGTCTGGGTTTTTGGAACTGCGTTTCCAAAGGTAGTGCCTTAACTTTTAAAAGTTGGTTGGTTGGTTTTGGTTTTTTTCCCTTGTCAGTCTAAGTGTTTATAATATGCTTTTGAGTACGGAAATGGATGAGAAGCTTCCTCTGTATTTTGTGCTTAGATAGAATACTTTTGACTGTAGGAAGATTCCCAAGTAAAGGCTTAGGTTATGACTTGGGGCTTTTTTGCAGCCTAGAGCTGCAAATGTACACATGCTTTTCCTTTCTGAAACAGGAGCCCCGGGGACAAATCCGAAAACCCAATGGTACAGCTTTTCTACGGGACTTTCTTGACCGAGGGTGTCCATGAGGGTGAGTTAAGGGTTTAACTCCTTCGAGTGTTTTGATTTTATAGCAGCCATGACACAGGCTTTCATTGCACGTTCCTAATGAAACTGCCTAGTTCTTTCAACTTGCAAATAGTCATCTTGATAAAATTGTCTGTGACATTTATAAAGTCTGTCTTTTGAAATCGTTAACTCGCTAACGTATCAAAAGCACCAGTTTATAAGGAGGCTCGCCCTGGCAGACGAGTTTACAGCTAAATGCAGTTCGTTTCGTGCAAGTGGCACCTTTGGTGCCGACAGCAAACTCTTAAGTTAACCAGAGTTTTTTGTTCTCTTGAGTTAGTTCATGGGTTTTGTATCGTTTCCATCATGCAGGCAATACTTTTTCCAAGATCGAAACCTTTGGTCAGTATCCCCTTCAGGTAAATGGTTATCGAAACTTGAACGAGTGCTTGGAAGGAGCCATGGTGGAGGGAGAGATGGATGAGGCGACAGCATCTCAGTCAGTGAAGTACGGACAGGAGGTTAGTTTTACGGTTTTTTTCTTGAGCTTTTGCTTGCCCACTGCAGAAAATAAATGCAAGACGTAGTGCAGGGGTGTCTGGCTATACACTGTGGACTTTAAACAGCAATCGTAAATGTTCCCCAAGAATTGAATGCAAAATGTTTTCTGGATACCTGGAATCTCACATAAACGCGTGTGAGTGCTACGTGGTGAGACGCTAAGTCTTTGCTTATTTGTAAAGATGTGTTGTCCTCTATAACCAGTTCGAGGAGTTTGTTGTAAATTAAAAAGGTAAAGATCTGCTGCTGATGCGAGTGTGATAAAGTCTCTCTCTTTCTGTTGAAGCCTACCTGTACCTGAGTAGGGGGAGAACCACTGCCTCCATATTTTCGGAGGGTAAAAGTACAGTGCTTAACTCTATGGTATGCCATTTGGAATTTGTATCTTTCTCCCTATTACAGTGTCTGTTTTTTTCCTTCTCATTTTCACTCTTATCTTCTGACCGTGCTGGTTTGGGTTTTTTGTTCTTTTTTTTTTTTTTTTTAAATCTCACAAATCACAAACCAATCATAAAATACTTAGTTGCGGCAAAGTGGAAAGTGAAGGTGTACCATTAATTACGTTCAGCATCCTACATGTGTAAGCGCAGCTGAGCGGTTAGCTTAGAGAAAGACTGGGAAAGCACATTAAGGAATTTGCAAAGGTGTCAGGCGTCAAGGGACCAGGGAAGGGTAATTCTGTTCTATGAGATCGTCTGAAAAATGTGTTGCTGCGGTTTAAACTAGCAGAGGAGAAACAAAGTCTCAGGTGGGGGAGCCCTGTCCGACGCTGGACTCAAATGTTTGATTCTGGTTTTCCTGGTTCCTGCCTGAAGCTCCTCAGATGCATTTACAGCAGATGCAGGTGAAACAAAGGGCCATAGGGAGCTAACGGGGCAGGTTCTTTTCAATCCAAGCTTTCTAGTTCCTCCGAATCCTTTTCCAGAAAATAAGGGAAATCGGACCAGTCGTGGCGATGTTTAAATCATTCTTTGTCTGTACGGATAGAAGGAAAAGGCTCTGGCTTTATTTCTAAGAAAACTGACTGGAAAAAACTGTGCATCTTAATTTCACTTCCTAGGATGTCGTGGCTAGAGGACTGCAGGATAGGGGATGTAGAGAATAAGGTGCATTTTGTCTTGTGAGAATGTAGGCGAGTGTACTGAAGCTTGAAGCGTCAGTGGGATTAACGAGAACTTACCTTTCTCCTAGATAATAGGTGTGTAAAATCGTTCCTCCTCTGTCTTTATGTTCTCACGGTCTGAAGATTGGGCGGCTTCTCCAAAAGCTCTGCTACTTGGCCGTTTCCTTCCAAAGTTTTTTTTTTTAAATAATAAAACCCAAGTCACCTTCATTGGAGCTATTGTAGATCTAAAAACGTGCTGTTGCACTTTGACGTGGGGCGGCAGGACTTCTGACGTGAATCCTGCAAAGGAAAATGGAGCTTAGTGCGCTCATCCCGAGTCCAGCAAGGGAGCGTTGTCTGGGTGGTGCCATGCTAAGGTAGGTGAAGGGAACTCCTGGCCTTGGATGCCAGAAGTATTTGTGAACCTAGGAAGAGAGGGAGGAAGTGTAAATTCAACCGAGAATTTGCCTGTCCACATAGCTTGTTGAAACAGCATGTGAAACATACAGAAAGTGGATTTCTTCTCTGAATCTCCTAGATGGGATAGTTTGTAAATAGCCTGAGAGAGGGTAAGGAAGCGGGGGCGCTGCTTAAGGACTTCATTCCCCGTTGTTGCACGTGATCTATGCTGGAAAAGAACTCTCTTGGAGGCTCTTAGCTGACATCTAGAGTTTGTGTAGTGTCTGCTATTTCTGTAAAATTCAGTGCTGGACCCGTTAATAATCCATCAAGCTGGACGCCTCAGGCCGTGAAAAGTAACTTTCTGAAAGCCCTTAGGAGGCTTTTTCATGGTAAAAATGTAAAATGGAGGCGGAAATTTTAATCTCGTAAAATGTGGCTCTTTCTGACGGTAGGCACTCTGTAAACAGAACATGTTGTGAATCAGTGTTTAAAGACAAATGGAGATTTAGGATCAGTCTGAAATCATTTTGCATCGGTCTAAAACGCACTGTTTAGCAGTCCTCTTAGAACAAGTCCCTTTGGGGGCATTTCTGCTTTTGTTACAGCGCTGGTTTACAAAACTCCCACCGGTGCTGACCTTTGAACTCTCCCGATTTGAGTTCAATCAGTCACTAGGACAGCCAGAGAAAATTCACACCAAGCTGGAATTTCCCCAGACTATTTATATGGACAGGTGAGTTGTTCTCTTGTACGGTATGTTTGAACCTGTTGCTTTATTGTAATTAAAGAACTTAAAAAGGTCGAATGGATGAGCAAGGAAGGATTCTAAAATATTCGTGAAAGACGGTGGATGTTTAGAAGTCAACAAATCTCAGGTGGTGGGGCTCTGTGTTTCTCTGCTTAGGTACCTCTACTGTAGCAAAGAGCTTATTCAGATGAAGAGAGAAGAAATGAAGAGGCTGAAGGAGAAAATGGGGATTCTGCAGCAGAAGCTGGAAAGGTAGGTAGTCAGCTAGCTTTATTTTTGTACCCCGTGGAAGGGTACGAATGCTTCCTCTTAAATCAGCTTTCCAATAGGAGAGAAGGTTGTCAGGAGAGGGGAAACGGAGCTGGGTTTGTTCCGAAAAGTGTGGCGTGAGGAAGTGGTGTTTTTAAAAAAGAAACTCGTGGCCCTGATGGTTTCTGAATATGACCGATGCTGCTACAAGAACAAATTCCTTAAATAGCGCTATTGTCGCTGTCAGCTGCATTGGCAAGCTGCGGTGCGGAAGCCCAGTAGTACATTAAAAAGAATCTGCATTATTTTTTATATGCGAGGTCCCCTCCGGCTTAGAGTTTGGCATTATTTCTTCCCTGTTGCTCTTCTGTCGTCGCCTCGGGTTTAACCAAATGCTCACGTTCCTTCGTTAATGCAACATCTTGCTTTTTTTTTCTTCTGCAGCTACATGAAATACGGCTCTGGCCCAGTCCGCTTTCCGCTGCCCGACATGCTCCAGTATGTTCTCGAATTCATCGCCACAAAGCCAGCCGTAGCTGTGTCTTCCGCTCAGGGCTCTCAGACGACGCTCCTGCAGTCCCAAGCCGAGCCCCACGTTTTGGACGTGCTTTCAGAGCCGACTGGGTTAGTAAACAGAAATAAAAATCATTCGTGGGAGAACGCTTTGCCTTGTTCAGCTAAAGCTTTGCTCCTGGTTTGCGTTCTAAAAGTGGATTATTTATCTGGGTGCCTGTGAGTGTGATGTAGTAACGTGTGAATGCCTGTGCAAGGAGTCAGTCCAGTCGCTGCTTTGCTCATGGTTCGTGTAAACCGCACCTAGTCTGGTCTTTTTCCTTTCCCAAAAGCATCACCATATTCCTTGTCTAAGCGGCAATTCTGACTTAAATTATGTGCTCTTTTTGGTTAGGCTGCGAATTTTTTTTGCTTCATCAACCAGTAAATTACTGCAATATTGGATTATTACAAACCCGGCCAGCACGGTTGGTTTACACTCTAAATTAAGCCGAGTAAATACAGGAGTTTCTTCGTAGTAAGGGAAGGGTTTTTTGGAATTGCTCATTGTGGATCTATGCTTACAGAGCTCTGCAAGAATTTTAGCATTTATTTGTCCAACATTCTCATTTGGTCTCTTAAGGTAGAGGTACATTTCAATGTACTCGTTCTCTTTGCATTTTGTACCATCCTGGAAGGGAAATCCTGCTCTGGCTCTGGAGCAATTTTTGGGTGCTTTATTTCTCATTCTTTTCCAAAAAGAGGAAAAAAAAAAAACCCCAAAACAACCCAAGAGGTTGAAAGGCCTGTCTGCTACTCTTGGATTTTGCTTCACAGCGTGCTAGAAAGGAAGGATACCAGGACTGACGATGCGGCTTTCTTCTTGGCAAATCCCTCGCTCCAGCAGCAGTCGAGTACGCCGCTCCAGCCTTCGGGTTCGCCCGCAGAAGCATCTGAACGTCCAGCTCCTCGTGTGGTTTCCACGGAAGAGCTGAACCTTGTTCGGGCGTGTCTCCAGCGATGGAGGAACGAGATTGAACAAGATGTGCAAGGTTGGCCCCAAATATATTTGTTGTGGTTTTTCTGTTGAATGCCGGCCCAATTTCCCCTCTGTTGCTTCGACTGGATGCCTCCTGATGTACAACTGACCGTGCGCAGGCTTCAGCCTGGTGTATTTGATGGTGGCTGCACGGCTTCGAACTGTTTGAAGTGAAAGGGGCCAGAGTAGCCTGATGAGCAGTCATAGTTTTGTTTTTTTTTTTTTTACGTATTTCTGTCCTTCGTGATGTTCTTGGCAGATCTGAAGGAGTCTATTACCAGAATCAGCCTGTCCATTGAACAAATGTACTGCGACCCTCTCCTCCAACAGGTAGGAAACGCAGCTTCGTTGGGTAAATACTAAACCCACCTCGCTGATACTGGGTTTTGCTGGTAGCTGTCAGTTTCAGTTATCCCGCTTTACTATATTTTTAAAAAAATCCCAATGTTACGATGAAGCAGAGAAAGGATTCCGTGTGAAAATGTTGTTGCTATTCCCCTTAGAAGTCAGCTTTTCCTTAGTAGGAGGTTCACCCTGTGAATTGAGAGTCTTGGCTGTGAACGTATTTGCAGTTTTTGCATGGGGGTCAGGCAAATTCATTTACTAAAAGCGCGTCTGAAAACCGTGTCCATGTGAACTTGCAGGTTCCCTATCGTTTGCATGCAGTCTTGGTACACGAAGGGCAAGCAAATGCTGGTCACTACTGGGCCTACATATACGACCAGCCTCGAAAAAGTTGGCTGAAATACAATGACATCTCAGTGACGGAATCATCGTGGGAGGAGTTGGAGAGAGATTCATTCGGAGGCTTGAAGAATGCCAGTGCCTACTGCCTGATGTACATAAGCGATAAGGTGTCCCGCCTCGTTGCAGGTACCAGAGCCAAAACTGCTGATTAATTCCACGTGTGTGTGTATTATCTTGTCTCTCTGCGATCACTACGTTCCTCAGCTTCTCTTTGGCACCGTTGTCTTTTGACGATGTAAAAAACTTCACCCCAGGTAGAAGTGAAGTCATTTGCTCCGTACTGGATTCATTTCGAAATCCCTGGTAGGGTTGAAAACCGAGGGAAGAACTGGAGTGCTGAGGTTAGGCACAGTACTTCAGGTTTTAGTAAAGTATACAAATGTTCAAGCTCCCCATTCGCCACTTTCAACGCGCATCTACCGCTGGCGCTTTTCACGTGGCCTTTATATAGTTTATCTGACAGTCTGTCTTTTAGAAGGGCATCTGAAACGCCTCCTACTTTATTTCTCCCGATTTTTTAATCACGCTTTCTGACCCATTGGCTTGTTTTTCAGCGATGCCGTTAAACCAAACCTAACCCGGGGCTCTCTTTTTCACGCAGCCTTTCCTAGTGCGTGGGTTCTTGCTAACGGTGGCTTAAACTTGCAAGTATGTTTGCAGTGCCGCTGTATAAATAGTCACGTGGAGAAATTGTGGTGCACGTGGCAATATACACGGCAAACAGCTGTCGAAGAACCTAATAATTTCACGGGTGGTTCATTTTGATGTAATAAATAGAACGAAACAATGGAGAACTGTCATTCTGTTCATTGCTAAATATGGCTGATGAGGATCTGGAGGTTGTTCTTTGTCTGTCTTCCTATGACAGTTCCGTTTCTGAAATGAACCCATGATTTTTTATTTTTTTTCCCCTCCTATTTAGCACAATTTTTGTTGTTTTTCAAAGATGCTTTGCTTTTACAATGGGTGCGTAAGAAATATCTGGTGTAGAGAATCGCCGCTTGCTTTTGATCAGTTTTAAGACTTGTCTAAAGCTGATCTAACAAGCGCTGAGAAGTGCCAGCATGACACTCGTGCTATGGCACCCTTGCAGTTCCCTGCCTTTAAATGCTATGTGGCGTTGTATGTAGATGTGATGTCTCCGGCTTAATTGTGAATTTTCCAGCTATTGGCACTTTAAATACTGTTCTCTGTACAGTCACAGCCCTTGAAATAAGGACGCGTTTCTGACCCCCTGCAGCAGCGGGCCCTGTTTCTGGAATTTCTCTGTGATAAATGCCATCCAGTGGTGGAACAAAACTGTGTTTGGTTTCAGATAACTCCATGGATTTATCTTTATTTTTCCACTTTTGCTTATCAATCGTCTTCAATCATGAAGCTAGTAGAAAGTTGGGAGTTTTTTTCCCATTTACTCCTCGGCCGATTTGATCGTGGCTGTCCGTAATGCTGCCTATTCGTTTAGTCTCTGATGGTGGTGTCCTGCTACTATGTGTTTCGCTCTGTGCCCATCCTGCATTCCTTCCAGACGAGGATGATGGCTCCGAGGTTGGACAGTTTCAGAAGGAAGTCGAAGCCCTGCCCCCGGAGCTGCGACACTATGTCCAGGAGGACAACTGGCGACTGGAGCAGGAGGCGGAGGAGTGGGAGGAGGAGCAGTCTTGCAAGATTCCTCAGATGGAGCCTTCGCCTGCTTCCGAATCGCAGGACCTCTCTTCCGAGTCAGGACCAGGTAATACCGCCTCTGAATTTGCGCTTCAGACTTCTGTTTCATCCCACGCGGACGAGCTGCAAAGCGTTTTAGAACGAGAGAGGAGAAGTTGTCTCGCAGCTCGTGCTCGCTGATACCCCGCCTCTGTCCTGACAGATCCGTCTTTGGTCTGCGAGCAGAGCGTGCGCTCTCTGTCCTCTGAACATGCCATGATTGCCAAGGAGCAGACTGCCAAGGCCATTGCGAACACCGCCGACGCCTATGAAAAGAACGGCGTTGAGGCGGCTCTCTGCGAGGTAGGAGCTGAGCCCTGGTCCCTGAAGCGACCCGCTCCGGTCTTTGTATTCGTCGTCTTTGGCAGACCTTTGCTCTTTCCATTTCTGCGTAATTCTGTAGCTATGCCACGTTCGACTCGGTCCCCTTTGGCTCTCCTGTGTTTTGCGTAGATTTTTCTTACTCTTTTTCTTCTTTTTCTTCTTGGCCACAGCCCAAGCAGGTAGAATCAAGGAAGGCCCAACCGGGAGAGACAGCCCTTACAGTTCAGGCAGAACCACCACCGCAGGACACTAAGGAAACAGAGTCTGCTGCCCAAAGTAGCTCACAGGTCTCTGAAGTGGAAATCCCCAGTGTGGGGAAGATTCCCGTTAGATCCGATGCAGACGGATATAATGAGGAGGTACAGATCCCAGTGCAGGGGTTGATTACCACCGGTCATTAACCTTGAACTTTGTAGTTAGTGGGCTTTGAGCTTACCTCAGATTGGGTACGAAAGGAGTCCGTCATGGAAACAGTGCTGTTTACAAAGTACGTTTTTCCCTGCTGTGGAAATGAAGGAGGCCAGACCAAACCATTTCAAACCTAATTTCGTTTCTGAGTGCCATCAGAGAAGCAGCTCTGTGAAAGCACTCAATCGTTAGAGCCGCACGTTGTTCCTTTAAGTCTTCTTTCTGGCACAACTGTATCAAGAGCGATCCTGGTGGCATTAATTTATCGACAAGCCTCTTTACTGTCCTCGGTGCGAGTTTCGTCCCCTCTCTCAAAGATGTTAACCACTAATAGCCTAACTGAGGGTATCCTACCTACTGATTTTATTTTTAATCTAACCCCACTCACACATACTCAAGCAGCATTTTGGAAGCTGAGCCTTCCTCACAAGCGCGGTTGGATTTCATGCAAATCCCGAGCCCGTTACTCCTTGAGTATGTTGAATATGAGCTTGTGTGAAGCTGGCACGATGAACTGCTCCGCCATAGGCACTGCTCTGATATTTACATTGCTTGAGAAGATTGAGTGGGACGCAGAGGGGATATGGCTAGCATGCTTTACGTTCTCACTCGCTGAATTTACAAATTCAAGGCTTGGAGCGACCAGCATTTAGACCTTTAAGCACTGGGGGGAAAAAAAAAAACCTGCATGCAAAGTGTGCGTGATAGATGAAGTAAGCAGTATAGAAGTAAATCGCAGGTCTAGCTTATTCCACCTGTGTTCCTATGATTTCCTTTACACCTTATCTTTCGAAAATGCATTCCTTCCTTCACCATGCTTTTTCTTCTTTCCCTGTCTGTTACCCTTTTCCTTGTTCTTGTTTGTGTTTTTTCCTGCTTTCGTGGTAGGTGATGCTGAGTCCAGCCATGCAAGGTGTCATCCTGGCTATTGCAAAAGCCCGCCAGACCTTTGATCGAGATGGGTCTGAAGCAGGGCTTGTGAAGGTATACTTGTTTGTTTGCTACATCCAATAGTCTGGATATCTCTCTTCACGGAATGCGGAATCTATGCTCTATTGACGTATCAGGAATGCGGCAGGAATGATTTGTGCCGTCTTCCTTTTAATTAATGGCCTTTCTGCCCCGCGTTTCTGTTTCTGCTCTCTGATTGTGGCGACGCTTCCTCTGGTTCTAAACAATGTTTAGAGCCTGTAAGAGCTCCCTCCTCCCAGGGGAAACAACAACTTTTCTTTTACTTTCCACAATTTATTCCACTGGTTCTTTTAGTATCGGTCATTCTCTTGACCTGGATTTTAAAAAGCAGGCTTTCTTTGTGTGCCTTTCAGAATCTGTTGTCTGGGTCCTCAGTGTGATCGTCAGAAAATGAACCAGCACTCGTGAAACTTTTTATTGGTCCTGAACATGCACGCTTTCCGTGACCTCTGGTGTAAAACGCGTCCTCGAGAAATGGATGCGTTGACCAGAGGGATTGGAAAGAACAAGCACTGCTGAATGTTGAAGCTGCTGTTAGATTTTACAGGTAGCTTGAACTCAAAATGCTGCATGGGAGAAATCACCCGTGCTATTCATCTACAGAAATATAACTCACAAGATACTCTTGCACCTTACTACAGAGGTAAGCGTGTTGCGGTCGATTTTTACAACCTCAGCGCTTGCAAGAGGGCTGCCGAAACAGAGGCAGCTGTAAATTCCCCCACTGAAAGGCATTCAGACACATTGGGGCTTTTGAAACGTGCATGTTTCACACGCGTGGGCGCCTGTTGTTGATAGTCCAGGTGTTCGTGGGCTTCCATTGACCGCTAGAATATTCCCAATTTGCCCGTGGGAATCCCACCGGGACGGAGAGCTGTAAGCTTCCTATCAGCTGCCGCAGCATTCCCACGGGCAGAAGAGCGGCCGTGTCAGTGACGCGTGTTTTGTTGGCAGGCGTTCCACGAGGAGTACTCTAGGCTCTACCTGCTTGCCAAAGAGACCCCGACCCCTCAGAATGACGCCCGGTTGCAACACGTGCTCATTTACTTCCTGCAAAACAACGCTCCCCAGCAGGTGGTGGAACGGACCCTTCTCGAGCAGTTTGCGGACAAAAACCTCAGCTACGATGAAAGGTTTGTGCCGCGGTTTCCGAGACGAGGCTTTTCTCATCTGGAAGCGGCCGGGGCCGTTGTTCTGATTTTCTCCATCCCTCTCTGCTTACACGGAACAGGTCGATTAGCATTATGAAGGTAGCACGAGCAAAGCTGAGAGAAATCGGACCCGACGACATCGATATGGAGGAGTACAAGGTAAGGGAGCAGAGCACCGCCTTCGATCCTCCGCGCCGTCGCGACTGGGGAGGCAGGGAGCGCGGCACGGAGCAGCGCCAGCAAAGGCAGCCGTCGCCGGCACGCCTGTCGGCAGCGTCTTTGCCATCTGCAGAAGGGTGCTGAAAGGGAGAACGAATGGAGCGGGAATCTCCCCAGCTCTGAGGGACGTCTGGGCAATTGACTAAATTGATTTGTGTGTCGCTTACGCGAGGTGTTTCAGCCTTTCAAAGGGTAGAATCTGACGCGCTCTCGAGTTGCGGAGGAATGCAAAGCTGCGCGCGTGCGTGTGTGTTAGGGGTGACGCTGACGCTCGATTTTCTTGCTGCTCCTCCACAGAGATGGCACGAAGACTACAGCCTTTTTCGCAAGGTGTCGGTTTACCTGCTGACAGGGTTGGAGCTCTACCAGAATAGAAAGTAAGTTCCTTTTCATGCTGTGTTTAGACAAGATAAGCTAGAGCCCAGGAATAGAGGCCGCTCTGAGAGGACGCCTTCGTCCTGACCCGCGACGGCCAGTTTGCGTTCAGTCTTGAGGCCAGCAGGCTTGCCTTTTGACTGGCTGATAGCCCGTTCTTGAATCCACCTTGGTTAGCAGGTTAAATATTACGCTCTAGTACTGGCTAGGTGTCTGACACGGTTTCTGAGCGTTTCCCTGAATTTCTCCTCCTGTGAGGTAGAGCTTTACAGTCTCCTTTCCAGAGACGGGTGTGCGGGAACGATTGCCATCACTTCTTTTGCTCTTCAGACTCCTGTGTTAACATTAAATTCTCTTGACCAGGCCATTGTACTTTGTGTAAGCACACGCTTTGGAGGTCTCTAGACCCCTAAGAATTTCGAAAGGGCCTTTTTTTTCTCCCTACTGCTTTAGAACCTGTGTGTTACGTAAACAGTGCAGTACAGAGGAGGAGAGTGCCGTTTTATGAAAGGTTTGTAATTTGAAAAGTGTTTTTTCCAGTCCGGGGAATAAACTGGCTTTCAGGAATTATTCGTGGACGGAACCAGAACTGAGCTCTGAGGGGGTTAGCAGTGATGAACCTCCAAATTCAGGCAGGCAACTTGACAGGAGGCTGGAGAGCGGTTAGAGCTTCCCTGAAATGACCTGATCTCTGTTGGCCGTACTGTTTTCTCAGTGGGGGGGTTTATAAGCTAGAAATATGGAAAAGAACTGAAAACATTACCTCCTGCCCTTCTTTGAGCACTCTCCCAAAGTTCCCGGAGAGATACAAAAAAAAGGTCCCGCCAGTATTCACGCTCAGGCCGAGTTGCACGCAAACTCGGCTTTAAAGGGCTCTTCCTGAGAAGCTCATTGGCCAAAAAGCAACATTTAATTACCCGACACAGGGTGTCTGCCCGTCTATGCTTGGCAAGGAAGTAAAGATTATTTCTGTTGGGCCACCGTTCAGGCCGAGCGGAAAATATTTGTGGAGCTGGCACGACTGACGGCGCAGTGCCTGTGGGTTTTTTTTTCTTCTCCTAGGTACCAGGAGTCGCTCACCTACCTGGTCTACGCCTACCAAAGCAACACCAAGCTGCTGCTGAAAGGAGCCAACAGAGGAGTGGACGAGTCGCTGATTGCCTTGTACAGAAGGGAGTGTCTCCTGGTTGGTATCGAGGGGCTCCACGCCCCATCTCAGGGAGGGGGGGAGGGAGCAGCCCGGGTGACATCGGCTCCTGCGGTGCAGTTCGCTTACTGGCTGCCCGCCGTGCATGGCCCAGGGAATCGGGCCGTACCGCATCCGCCTTTAGAAGCAGGCTCGATTAACCTCCTGTGTTTTCGGGGAGGGTTCGGATGCTGCCGAACACGCCCTTGGGTTTTAACTCGGCGCTTGCATCATTTTCTGTCCATTCGCTGCCTTCCCACCCCCCAATGTTTATTTCTAACGTTAATGGCTTTCTCTCTCTGAGCAAAAGACAATGGCCTTTTCCACGGGTGGCAAAAAAAACGGCGTCAAAATGAGCTTTGTTTTTAGTTCATGCTCCGGTGGTTGCCAAGACCGGCGTAACCGTCTCTCTTGTGCCTGTTACCGCGGTTTCTGCCCCTTGCCAAATAGCGGCAGCAATATGGAAATTTAGGAAATGATAATTCAATGAAAGAGCGTGCTGTACGGCTCTTGGGGAGTCTGGCTAAAGGCAGATCTGGATGTTGGCATCTTAAAAGCGGAATTCTAAGCAAGCCATATGTACTCTGTACATATATAGAGAAATTGGCATATATGTATATAAATACCCCTAGGTCTCAGTTTGTTTTCGACGGTGTGATTCCTGTGATTAAAGGCGGCTGTTCCGTTGATCTTTGCGTCCCTGCGTGGCTGTGGGTGAAGGCGCCCGAGCTGTGTGTCTTTCCCACGAGCGTGCTAGTTATCTCAGGTCCGTGTGTGCTTTTTACAAGTTTTTCCGTTTCTCCCTCCTCCCCCAGAAGCTGAACGAGGTGGCAGCATCTCTGTTCGTAAGTCGTGACGAAGCTCGCGTGGCAGAGGGCGTGAGCATCCTGAACGAGCTGATCATCCCCTGCATGCACCTCATGAACAGCTTTGAGATCTCCAAAGAGGACCTGGATGCCATCGAGGTGATGAGAAACCGCTGGTGCTCCTATTTGGGACGAGAAGATATGGACGGTAGGGAAGGGCTGCCTGCCTCACCTTTCTCGTGCTCTCTCGGGGCAGGTTATAGAAGAATTTAATGTTCTGTTGCACTAAAGCTGCAGTAGAAACAGCGTTCCTCTTCCCTGAAACGCGAAACACCACTTTCAAAAGAACAGCTTAGCGTTATCTAGGTGCACTTTGGTTTTCTTTTGTCTTACGGAGCGGAGGGTTCCCCATAGATTGGAGGGGAACGCTGGCAGCCTTCCTTGCACAGGCATCGCCCTCTTCAAGAGGGAGGAACAGGTTCTGTCAGCAGCCAGAGCTGCAGAAGACCGGACGGGGGAGCGGATTGAGGGGATCTTTGCTTTCTGAAGAGAGCTTTGTTGGTTTAGAGCTGCATTTTGGTTCCCGATAGCTGCTCTTGTTCGATGTTTCCTTCTGTGCTCTGGAGTCGGGCTGCCGTCACTCCCCTGGGGTCATTTTTGTTAAAGAGAAATTGGTTTCGACCCCCCCCCCTTGAGCTGTGTGGCGTGAAGGTTTGGGGAGTCACGGCAGAGTTTTTTTGTCAGCGGCAGAGGGTAAACTTGCCGAAGGAAAATAATGCAAAACCGCAGAGGTGTATTCTCAAAATAGCAACTGCCGTAAACAATAAAACGGGATAAATTTATGCTGACGCGCAAGTCGCCCGTGCTCGGGCTCGCCACAACGGCCTCCCCTGCATCAGCAGGCACTGCTCATCCCCATGCCGCAGGCGAGGGGTGGTTTTCAGGGCTGGAAGAAGCGTCGCAGCTCTTGAGCTGGTGGCCCCGGAGCCCTCTGCCATCTGGTCCGCTACTATTGCGGCGCCACTGACTGTGTCATCCTCTTCCCCCTTGACAGCAAAGCTGCAGATGAAGCTGGGCGAATTGCTGCCCCGGCTCCTCGACTGCTCCACCGAGGTCATCGTTCTGAAAGAGCCCCCGAAGATCCGGCCCAACTCCCCCTACGACCTCTGCAGCCGGTTCGCGGCCGTGATGGAGTCCATTCACGGGGCCTCGACCGTGACCGTGAAATAGACCGCGGACTCCCCGGTACGCACGCTGCGGGCCGCCCGCCTGTCGGGCCGCGTTGGAAAAGGGAGAGGGGAAGAGAAGGGGCGATTCGGATTCAGAGCCGTGTTCTTTGTAAATACAAGCGAATAAAAAGCAGCGTTGCACTTATGAGGTAAAACGTCAAGCGGAAACGCGAAGGACCCGAACCGCTTCATTTTTAGCCCCGGACCCCCGGGCCCGCGACGGCAGCGATGAGCTGCCGTTGATCTGTCAGACGCGCTTACGTCTCTCTGAGTGATTAGCTACCGGACATCGGACCTTCGGCTCTTGCCAAGCTCCGGGTAGCAGGGCTCCTCTCACGCTCGCTGTTGCGCGGGCAGTCACACATGCAGCCGCACAGTTTGGTCAAGCTGGTGTTTGCCTTTTGTATTTTAACTGGCAAAAGGGGAAAAAAAAAGAAAAAGGACACGGGAATCTGGGAATCTTCCTTGAGAAAGGCAAAAGCAAATAGGGGTGGTGACAAGAGGGTAAATATTGCCCCTCACGCGGCTGTGCCACACCGACAGCGTTGCGCGGGCAGTCACACATGCAGCCGCACAGTTTGGTCAAGCTGGTGTTTGCCTTTTGTATTTTAACTGGCAAAAGGGGAAAAAAAAAGAAAAAGGACACGGGAATCTGGGAATCTTCCTTGAGAAAGGCAAAAGCAAATAGGGGTGGTGACAAGAGGGTAAATATTGCCCCTCACGCGGCTGTGCCACACCGACAGCTTACTGGTTAAGGGAGATTGCACCACCCCAAAGGGTATCCCCCCTTCAGATCAAACTTCCTTCTCGTCTCTCACCACCGGATTAGTGTTGCCGACAGCCGCGAGGGCTAGGATCGGCTCCTTTTTTGTTGGT